TAAATTCATTAAATATTGCATATTCACAAATATGAAAATAAATGGCAATATATGATGTTTATGCTTTACATTTACAATCATAACATTTTGAATTCATTAAATATTACATATTCATTGATAGAAAACTAAATGTGTCAACATATAATATTTATGCACTATTAATTACAGTCGGAAGGTTTTGAATACATTAAATATTGCATATTCACATATATGAAAATAAATGTGTAAACATAAGAAGTGAATTAATTAGATTTATAGTTGTAATATTGTAAATTCATTAAATATTAAATATTCACAAAAATGAAAATAAATATGTCAACTTATAATGTTTATACGTTACGATTTATAATCATAACATTTTGAATTCATTAAATATTGCATATTCATATATATGAAAATAAATGTGTAAACATACTATTTGTGTTATGATTTATAATTGTAATGTTTTAAATTCATTAAATATTATATATTCACAAAAATGAAAATAAATATGTCAGCATATAATGTTTGTGTGTTATGATTTATAATCATGACGTTTTGAATTCATTAATTATTGTATAATCACAAATATGGAAATAAATATGCCAACATATGATGTTTATTCATTATAATTTACAGTCATAACATTTTGAATTCATTAAATATTGCATATTTACATACCTACGCATATATATATATATGTAAATATACTATGTATGTTATGATTTATTGTCGTAATATTTTAAATTCATTAATATTACATATTCACAAATATAAAAATAAATATGTCAGTATATGATGTTTATACATTACGATGTACAATCTTAACATTTTAAATTCATTAAATATTATATTTTCACAATAATGAAAATAAATGTGTCAGCATATGATGTTTATGTGTTACGATTTATATTCATAACATTTTGAATTCATCAAATATTACATATTTACATATATAAAAATAAAATGTGTCACGATATGATGTTTATGCATTATGACTGATAGTTTTAAGGTTTTGTATTTATTAAATATCGCACAATCACAGATATGAAAATAAATATATCAGCATATAATATGTATTACGATTTACAATTGTAATGTTTTAATTCATTAAATATTACATATTCGCATATAAGAAAATAAATATATAAAAATATTATTTTTATACGTTATAATTTACAATCATAACATTTTGAATTCACTAAATATTGCATATTCACAAATATAAAAGTAAATGTGCCACCATATAATGTTTATGCGTTACAATTTACAATTGTAACGTTTTGAATTCATTAAATGTTATATATTCATACAGGTATGAAAATAAATGATAAAATCTGAACTTTTGTTGTGTTTGCTTATAAATTAAGCAGCCCTCTAGTAAAACTTTAAGAGCAAAGTATTGAGTTTCTCTTTGCATGAGAGATTTCTTTTCATCTTTTTTGGTGATTTAAATTCAATATTCTTTCAAGGTAAAATGTTCACTTGCTCATATTTTTTCTTTATTCTTAAACTTAATTTTTTTTCCTTCTTGTAGAATGTTTAAATATATATTTATTTCAATATATATATATTTGAAAAAAAAAAAAAAAAAGCTTTCCTATTGAACTTAGACACTGTTTTCACTCCTTAATTATAGGAAGGTTAATGTCAAGAATTTGAATCTCCTCCCCCTCTCTCTATCTTGAATTTCAGTATAGGTTTTTTTTTAACTTAATTCAAACAAAAATATCCAAAACTAACAAGAAAACTTGTTAAAAATCAATTAATTAACTTTATTACTAATAATTTTTCTTTTTTCCTTTTCAGGTGAAATTAAATGCTATGAAGATGAACGAACCTTTTCAGCCTCCGAGGGAAAAATTGATTTTTCTTCACACAAATTTTACAAAAAAGAAATTTTTTCAATCGAATCAGTGATTTACCAGATATAAAAGATGAGAATTGATGGGGTTGAAGTATAAGGCTATCAACTTGTTACTATAATCACTCATGTTAGGTAGATGAAGGAGATCTCGAAAAATGACAAGTCATGGCTTCTCATCCTGCTTGATGTTTTGTGATATTAGTATTTTATTTGTATGCGTGAAAGTTGATTTGGTCCTATTCCTTACAATCTATGAAATCAGTCTCTCTTTATTGTCCCATAAAACTATTCCTTTCTCTTTTTCTAGACTCAACCAACCCTAATTTTTGACAATTAGAGTATCCTTTAGAAAAGAGAGATTTGTATTTTTATTAACAAACACGTGTAAACGTATATTAATGTTTTATTAGGACCACATGGTCAGTAGCATGTATATTAGTGTTTAATTTAGATGGTCGATGAAAGAAATTTTTATTGTTGTGGGAAGGAATTTTTACCGTATTATCAAGTCTTTTTTAAATGAAGCTTATATCGAGTTGTAATCATAAATTGTATGTATGAATTTTGAGATAAATGTACTTTTATTTACACTTGAATTTGACACATTTTTTTTTTCAAAAAAAAAAAAGATAAATGTGAAGAACTGAAGATAAATTAAAGCCAAATACCCTGCAGATATACCAACTATTAATTTTATCTGTTAGTTTAAGGAAAGCAAAATTCTTGAGTAACATGTAGTCCCTCATTCTCAAAAGAAATAATTAACTAGCTTACCAAATGAGAGAAATTGTTTTTTACTATATTAAAAACAAATACATTTTAAAGTATTAACTTTAAAAAATGTAAATAGTGAATCAATTATATCCTTTATAATTGATATTTTATTAAATTAATTATTTTATTTTTAATTGGTTATTTTTTTCTTAAATTAAAATATTGATTACATAGAGAGTAAAAGAGGTCAGAACGTGACTTTGGGTCAAACCCTGCATGTGAGAATGAAGTAGAGATTCAAGAAAGGCTAAAAATAGTAAAAAGACCTGCTCTGGCACGACATTTGGAGAGTTCACCATCAAGATAAATAGCTTTGTCCTTGAAAGTTTCCGACTATAGCTTAAGTTCAGCACATCTATTTCCAAGAATTACATGTTGAATCTGTAAGTGATCAGCAGAAGGAACTTCAATAAGATGTTTCTGTTCAGCTCATCTTCATCTTCACAAGAGGTAACTTTGGTTCATTTCTAGAAAGAGAGTTCTTTCTTGGATGATAAGGCAACAGAGAATTAGAGGTGGCACTATGATCATTTCTTGATTCTTTGAACTTGAAAAGAATTTCCATATTTTCATCAGTAAGCTCGTTGCAATCTCCCTCAAGTTCTTGCACCTTCAGTTTTACAGCTTCAATTTCTTTGATTAGATTAAAATTACCTTCTGTTTCAGAACCCATTTCCTTTACACCTTGACCATCAAGAGATTCGGACAATTTCATTTCCAAATTAATGATTTTTCCTTCTTTTTCAACTAATTTACCTCTCCAAACAGCCTCACAATGTATAAGAGATTTACTCATTAGACCTTGTTCAATCTCCATTTCATGGTTCTTTTCTTCCAGAATTTTCCCCAGAAACTGAATAGTGCTTTCCAAATTCCTATATGATTCACGCAGCAGCTGAAACTGGACCTCAAGATTCCTGTTCTCTGCATGTAACCCTCGTCTTTGGTGTTCAACAATACCAATTTTCCCATCAGAATAGAAGGTTTTATCGTTTGCTTTACTGAAACTTGTTTGACAGCAATAATTTGCCGACTACCTTCAAATATGACATCAGCCTTTCCTAATTCTTCAAATTCAGATTTCATATTGGAAAGGTTACCAGTTTCTACTTTATGTTTCTATGGTTTCTTCCAGATCCTGAATAATGGAAACAAGCTCAATATTTGATTCTTGGGTTTTTTTCAACTGTAAGGGTAAATTAGCATTCTCCTTTCTCTGAAACTTTATCTCATCTTCCAACTCCTTTTGAACGTTGTCTGTGTTTTTAGTTTGAAACTTGAGATTCTTGGCAGCAGCCTGTTTCATCTGCGACTCCTCCAACAAGATCTTTACTTGTTTGACCTCCTCCTTCAAGCAATCACATTCTACCTGTGATTACTTGTTTCGATTCAGTTGAATTACTTTCTGGCCCATTATCAATATTCAGCGTCCTCCATGCTTCATCTGCCTTTGGACACATCCTTAGATCATGGAACACCGTCTCCAGTTCACTCCCGCACCTTGAGCATAAAATAGCAACATCAATACCTCTCTTTTGAAGGTTTTGCATGGTTGGCAGTACGCCATGATAGCCACATCAAACCAGGGCTTTTATTTTGTTGGGCACTCCAGATCTTCCTCCATAAACTCTTGCTGGTATTCTCCCACGCTACCTACAGAGGCTGTTAACCTCATCTTCGGTACACAGTAGTTTATATCCGCTTTGCAACGTGTAAACTCCCTGGTTATCAAAATGCCATACTTGCCTGTCAGGTGACCGGTGACCCCACACTACTTACAAGGTTTGCACATACAGCTTTTGCATCATTCTTTGTGAACATGCTTTGGATAACATCAAATTTCCAGCTCATCGTAAATCGGTTTATTAGGTCTGCCACACTGCAGTCTCTGTCCATGTTGTTCCCTTGCCCATGTGCCCTGAAATTACTTGAGGTTAGTGCCCATCTGTCATGCCATAGTCTAATGCTTTGCCCGTTACCAACCGTCCAACGTAGTCCTAAACCTGGTAATTCATGTTTTCGTGTGTATATATATATCCTAAACCTGGTAATTCATGTTTTCGTGTGTATATATATATGTATATAGAAAACCCTAAACATTTCTTAGTCTCATTTACCTTTCCTTCACTCTCCCTTTCAGCAGCGCCTCTGTTCTCTCTTTTCCGATTTCATCCTGGCAGCTACCCCATTTCTCTCTACCACTCTTCCTTCATGCTTCATTTCAACATAGCTGTCTACAAATTAAACAAGTTGAATCCACATGCCTACCACTACCTTCGATCAACATTAGTTTACATAGAAAAATCCCTAGGTAGTAGCTACTAGCTAGTACCAAGCTCATTTTCACTTTTAAGTGCTATATATAATCTTGGTAGAAAACTCCAAAAGGAACAAAGTTAATCGAAAGGAAGCTGAGAAGAAGAAATATGGCTATGGCAAATACTGTTCTTTGCATGAATGGTGGAGATCAAGAAACTATCTATGCCAACAATTCCCTTCTACAAGTATCTCTTCCTCTTCTCACATAGTTAATGTTTGTTTAATCATTTGTAACCTTGAACCTAACAAGTTCAATTTCTTTTCAGAAAACTATACTATTGAAAACAAGGCCAATCATAGAGGATACCATCAAAGATATGTTCAACAAGGCTCTTCCAACTTGCAGTAAGATAGCAGATTTGGGTTGTGCTTCAGGTCCCAACACCTTCTTCTTGATATCCCAAGTTATCAACACCGTTCAATCAATATGCTGCCAACAAGGACTCAAGAAATCACCTGAGTTTCAAGTGTTTCTCAATGATCTTCCAGGGAATGATTTCAATACAATTTTTAGGTCTGTTACTGGTTTCTACTCTAGGCTGAATGAAGAAAATAGAGATATGCATTTGGGGCTTTGTTTCATAGCAGGAGTACTTGGTTCCTTTTATGGGAGACTCTTTCCCGAGAAAAGCATGCATTTTATAAATTCCTCTTACAGTGTTCATTGGCTCTCCGAGGTTATCATCTCTTTTGAACTAACCATCAGTTGGTATTCTAAAAGTAAAAATATTTCACTTATTGCCAATTGATTTCAAGTTGGATATCTGTTCTAAATTTAATATGATGTTAGAACAACCATTATTGCTCATTGTTATAGTTTTTTAGGTTGTCTCTGATTACTGAAAGTTCAGACTACCAATAATCCACATGATTGTTGGCCATTGTTGTAGTCATGTTATTCCTATATACCAAAATGTGATCACATTTCCATAGATGATGCTTTGATCACATTTTAATTAGTTGGGTTCACAGTTGAAATTATAAGAAGAGTATATATATATATATATATATATGGAACACTTTCACACATTTAACTTTACTTTATTAGCAGATTTTTCTTTTCAAAATTTAACTTGCAAGAATGGTCTTATTAACTCTAAGTCATTTTTATTAGATCCCAGTAGGGCTTGAGAATAATAAAGGGAATATATACATGGCAAAATCAAGCCCTCCAGACGTACTCAAAGCTTATTCTGAGCAGTTTCAAAAGGACTTCTCCAATTTTCTACGCTTACGTTCCGAAGAAATCATATCGGGAGGGCGAATGCTTCTTACTTTGGTTGGAAGAACCGTTGCAGATCCCATAAGCAAAGATTGTTGCTACTTATGGGAGTTGTTAGCCAAATCACTCTCTGATTTGGTGGCCGAGGTTAATTATATTCTCTTGAATCTATATATCTAGTACTGTCAACAGCCTTATGATTTATTAAAATAAAATGTTGCATTCTTAATTTCAATAATCATAGTTCAGTCTCCGACAATATAAAATATATACATACAATCTCTTAAAATGTTTTACTTTTCTTTCTTTTCATTAAAAGTATATAACAAATAAATAATTGTGTTTGCAGGGACAAATAGAAGAGAGTGATTTGAATTCATTCAATATGCCTTACTACAATCCCTATAAAGAAGAAGTATGGGACATTATCCAAAAAGAGGGATCCTTTGATCTTGATAAGCTTGAAATTTTTAAAGTCAATTGGGACCATGAAGACGATGATAGCAATAAAAACTTTGTATTCAACAAGTATAGGAGTGGGCAAAATGTTGCGAATTGCATACGAGCTATTACAGAACCCATGCTCACTAATCATTTTGGAGAGACCGTAATTGACAATTTGTTCACCAAATATGCAGAACATGTGGCTGAGCATCTATCCAAGGAGAAGACAAAGTATGTTAATGTAGTCATTTCAATGATAAGAAAATGAAAAAAATGGATGGCCGTTGATCAGAAGCTTTGGCTCGACCAAAGATATGGTTGAGATTCTATATATGTAGTCTGCTTTGTGCATGTAGCACAATTGCCTTATTCACAATATAATAAAAGAATCTCTACCTTTCACCTGTTATGAACAGTAACAATTTTAAAAAAAAAAAACATCTAATTACAGTTTGAAGAAATCCACAATGAATATGATTTGTACAGGAAAAAAAAAAGGAAAGTGAAAAGTGTTTTTCAAATGGTAGTAACGTTGTATTTTAGGATCACAATCAAGTATATTGAGATTAATTGCTATTTCGTACGCCATTATGTTACACGAAGAATTATTCATCTCACGTTTTTGTCTTCTTTGAATTAAACCATTGATATTCTTACCAAAAACACATTTTTTTTAATCGATTTCAAATAATAACATCAACAATATCACTTTGAATTTGAAGGGTGTTAATATAATAATCATAAATAAGGCTATTAAAAATTAAGATACTATTGCAATATGATTACGAATAATTATGATATTCTTAACTTAATTCTCTCTTGAATTAGTGAGAATTTTCTATATATGTAGAATACTATTTGTACAAACTTTACACAATTGAGAATGTAAGAATTTTTTTCTTGTAACAAATATATATCTCCAATAATTTATCAAATTAGGAATACATAAATAGTACGTATTAACTCTTCTTTTCATTTCTTCTATTTTTTTTTTTAATTTCTTGTTCTTTTTAATAATAAGAATAGTAAGTGACTAAAGTACTAATATGATGGATTTGAAAAGGAAGTTTTCTATTAATTTCAAATATTTATTTCTTTAAAACTAAATATTGGAGAAAAAATCTACCAACCCAACTATTATATACGGTAAACTCTTCTAAGTAAATGGTGTGGAGGTTTGCGGTGGAAACTAATTCCCTTTGGAGGAGAATAATAATAGCAAAATACGGATCAGTAGTTCCATTCTCTTTTAGCATTTGCAAGAGACAGATTGCATTAATTGGATAGAAACCTCCCTGGCTGGTTCCTTTAAGTTTAATGTCGACGGCTTTGCTAGAGGTAACCCTAGTCCAGCAAAGTGCAGTGGCCAGGGGCAGATCCATGCTTTGGATTAAGGTGTTCACAGATATCCCAAATTTTGAAAAATAAAAAATTTTGAAGGAAAAATTTTTCGTGGATGTCTTCAAAATTTTCTCTAAATATTCATTTTGTCAACAAAATCAGTAAATCCACTGATGATTTTTATATATATTTTAATTGAACACAAAAAAAAAGAAAATCCTGGTTCTGGCGGTTGGTGAGGTACTATCTTGGCTATGTTCTCTTCCCCCTTGCGAGGGCTATTCTAATGATGCTGAGTTAATGGCTATCAAACAGACATGCCATGGAAGTGTTCATCAAAACATAGTGGCTCGGTAAGGTTGGTCATAATAGTGGAATCAGATTCAATCGTTGCAGTTAATTCAGTCATTACTAGAATCACTAATGTCAGGTAAACAAAGGAGATCTCGAAAAATGACTACCCATGGCTTCTTCTCGTCCTAATTTACATTTCCGATTTTAGTGTTCTATTATTTTCTGTGACAAGTTGATTTGTGGCTCTAGGTTACACAAACCTATCTCATTTTCTCTTTATCGTCCGATGATTACTCCCTCTCAACCAGGTTCTAATTCCATCTAATTCTAAATTTGGATAATTGGGTTGTTCATCTGTAATTTTATTAAGAAACACTGGGAGGCATATATTAAATCAAGCTGTAATCATAGAATGTAGGTATAAATTTTGAAATGAATGTACTCTTCTTTACTCTTGAATTTGAGATAAAAGAATTTATTTTATTACTTTTTTTTTTTTTGAAAAAGGATAAATATGAGAATGCATGCATTTACATATATCATTGAATCAAATATTTCAAAATATCAAATACGATAATAGTATATCTATGACGGTATGGGAAGTAATTAATTATAAGATCCTTTGCGGAATGACAATTCCAATTCTATCTCATATGTAAAGCTAAAAATTATTAAGCTATAAAAGAATAAGAATAAGAAAAATGGTACTCAATCTGGTAATATTTGATAGAATAGTTATTTTTCCCTTTTGAAAAAGTATTTTTTTCTCAGCCGATAATGAAGATTTCATTAATATAGAAAATTCATACATTATGTTTTAGGTTGTAGCAAATCTTACTAAACAGAAACAGAAGATCCAAATTTTTACAGCCAAGCATTAAGAAGATCCACACTATCCACACCCAATTTTGCTAGTCTGCAAATGCATGAACTTCCCTGTAACTGTGTACAAAGTCAGCCACCGCAATCACATCTTTTAGCTTATATATTATCAATCTCTCCAAAGTAAAATTCTTCCATTGTTTCCAAGAACAATATTCCTTAAAATCTGATTTGATGATTAAAGCATGCTTTTTGTGCTGAGGAAAAAAAAAAACAGTCAGTGCCATTTTGATAGCTACCGATGTTTTGGAATGTTTCCAAATTTCATGCATGTATTGGAACCCATAGCAAGCTAACCAAGTGCTTCTACCGACTAAATTTTTACTTTCTCAAACCATTTAAGATTTTTAATAAAATCTTAAAGTTAATTAATCTTATTAAAAAGACATTTTTCGTTCTACAGAAATAAAGTTGGATTTAAGAGTTTGGTTATGTGGGAGAAAGATTAGTACATTCACAATATCCATTTTAAAAATAATAGCAACTGATCACATGTTATCTTTTATTTTTATAAAAGTGATCTTAATTTTAATATTTAAAATAATTTCCTTAATTCTTATTATTTCTACAAAAAAAAAAATTTTTGCTAAATCCCTTCAGGACATTTTATTTCGAAATAAAATGAAAATCTTTAGTTTCAAAACAATTTTGTAAATATTTCAATATTTAAGTGGAATTTCATAAAATATTTTTTCACTTGGGATTCTCATAATAATCCTTAAAGTTTGACATAATAGTCGTTTATAAAAAATAATTATTGAGGAACCTTTCAATATCTAAGTAGAGTCCCAAAATTATATTTATTTAAGAATATTAGCATATATTTTTGAAAAAGCAAATTTTCAAAATCATCATTTACTAATTCACTTTTTTTTAATGCATAATGCAATATGAGACAAATAAATGATGCAAATACAAATTAAAATATGCAAATGACCAATTTGATCCATCTCATAGTTAATTTTACTTCCCTTTTTATTATTATTTTTTAAAAGAAATTTTATTTATTTATTATTTGTGTTGGAAAATTTTTTTTAATTCTCCAATATGTAGACAAAACTTAAGAAAATTAATCATCACTTAAGACATTTTCATAATTAATTTTGGCAAAAATGAAAATGATATTCCTTAGAAAAGTATTATTTGAATTCTCTCCAATATCTAGTTAGGGTCTCCAAAAATCATTTTTTAAAAATATTATTCTATATATATTTTTTGAAATTGAGATTTTACTATTCCACATTTATTATCAATACATAAAAATATGTATATGACAATATAAGAATAAATTAAGTGATGCATGTAATTATATTTTTTGAAGTAGATTTTATTTAGGATGAGAATGACATTTTTTGCATTAGAAATATTTATTTATTATTTTAATTTACCAAATGTAGGTAGAAATAAAAATATTAAACTTTCACTTAAAAAATTCACATCAAATTTCTTTTAAAATAATTATTTGAATTCCCTATTTATATAGGATCTCTAAAATTATTTTTCATTCAGAGATATCATCTTATATTCTTATTGTAAAATGATAATGATTCAATTTGCAAATAATTTGTAATAAAAAGAAAAAACATCAACAGAAGTATTAATAACTTTATTTCAAAAAGATCATGTGATTCCTAAAAAAAAAAAAAATTCTAAACTCTGTATATATGCATAAAAATAAAATATGGGCATAAGTTATAATAAATTAAAATTAAGAAATTATACCCAATGCACTTTAAATATTGGAGCCCAAAATGGAGAATCAACTAAGCTTAGGAAAAGGAAAGCTATTGGCCCAAAGAAATGATTTGGGCTAGATCTAACAACAATCTAGCCATATTGCCAATTTAGGTCGATCCCTTTTTCTCACCTATAAAACACAACTCTTTTTTTTTTCACTTCATTTCATCTCCTAACCAGAGAAAAAATCTTCTCTCTCCAAAAAAATAAAAAATATGCTGGCCACCTCCATAAACCTAAACCCATATTCCAACAACAACCTCTGTCCATGCTGTCGTTGCCATTACCAATTGACTTTCAGAACTCATCCAAATAAAGCTTTTATCCTCTTTCCATTTTATAGAAATATTTATTTATTATTTTAATTTACCAAATGTAGGTAGAAATAAAAATATTAAACTTTCACTTAAAAAATTCACATCAAATTTCTTTTAAAATAATTATTTGAATTCCCTATTTATATAGGATCTCTAAAATTATTTTTCATTCAGAGATATCATCTTATATTCTTATTGTAAAATGATAATGATTCAATTTGCAAATAATTTGTAATAAAAAGAAAAAACATCAACAGAAGTATTAATAACTTTATTTCAAAAAGATCATGTGATTCCTAAAAAAAAAAAAAATTCTAAACTCTGTATATATGCATAAAAATAAAATATGGGCATAAGTTATAATAAATTAAAATTAAGAAATTATACCCAATGCACTTTAAATATTGGAGCCCAAAATGGAGAATCAACTAAGCTTGGGAAAAGGAAAGCTATTGGCCCAAAGAAATGATTTGGGCTAATCTAACAACACTCTAGCCATACTGCCAATTTAGGTCGATCCCTTTTTCTCAACCTATAAAACACAACTCTTTTTTTTTTCACTTCATTTCATCTCCTAACCAGAGAAAAAATCTTCTCTCTCCAAAAAAATAAAAAATATGCTGGCCACCTCCATAAACCTAAACCCATATTCCAACAACAACCTCTGTCCATGCTGTCGTTGCCATTACCAATTGACTTTCAGAACTCATCCAAATAAAGCTTTTATCCTCTTTCCATTTTTCTAGCTAGTTTTTTTTACAAAACTCAATGATTTGTCCTCTTCCTTCTTTCCTTATAGACCCGAACTAAACCTTCTTAAAATTCTTCTAAGTCCAACGAATCCTAAAAGAAAAAAAAAATGAAATGCCCCTTTTTCTTTCTACTATTTTGCATTTTTTGCTTTTGTTTGTATTTTAGTTTTCTCTGCTTGTATGGTTTCCCTATGGGCAATGTGATTGACAGTTATTTAGGGTCTTTTTTATTCATATGGCTATTGTCAGTTGCGGTTTTTTTTTATGAAAAATTTTTTTGTCAAGAATGGTGGGCAAAGATAAGCTCATCGTAAGTTTTTTTTTTTAAGTTTCAGTCCCCCTCTTTATTGATTTTTTTTGGTTCCTCTTAAAATGGCCCTTGGGTTTGTGATGAAATTTAAAAAAAAAAAAAAATGGTCCTTGTGAAAAAGAGAGGTGCAAGTTAAAAGGTGATTGGTACTGTGTAAGGTGGCTAACAAGGGACTAGTAGGGTGGTTAGCAAGCTGGTCCATAGCACCACTATGCCAGCTCTTTTTTTTATTATTTTTTATAATTTATTTAATTATTACAATTCTGATGTAATTGATATTGGGTCTTAAAATTAAATTTTGGTTCACAATTGGACTTTGAGAGTTTAGGCAAATCTTGAATTGGCTCAAATTGAGTTGGGTTTTAGTTCATTCAAAATAAATCTAAAATAATTAATCTGAAACAAAACTCTAATGAGCCTAACCAAATTTAACATGTTTGAATTATTCTAAATCAATATATTTAAATCAAAATCAAAATCGAAAGTGATTGAATTATCTTGGATAAAAGTAAATGTCTATATGTATATTCACATGTATGAAATAAATGTGTTAGTGTATGATGTGCATTATGATTTATAGTCATAATGTTTTGAATCCATTAGATATTACATATTCACAAATATGAAAATAAATGTGCCAATATATGATGTGCAGGATGATTTACAGTCGTAATGTTTTAAATTCATTAAATATTATATACTTACAAATATAAAAATAAATATGTTAATATATGATGTTTATGCTTTACATTTACAATCATAACATTTTAAATTCATTAAATATTATATATTCATAGATGTAAAAATAAATGTGTCAGCATATGATATTTATACGTTATGATTTATAGTCAAAAGCTTTTGAATATATTAAATATTGCATACTCACATATATGAAAATAAATGTGTAAACATAAGATGTGTATTAATTAGATTTATAGTCGTAATATATTTTAAATTCATTAAATATTACATATTCACAAAAATAAAAATAAATATGTCAGCTTATAATGTTTATACATTACAATTTACAATCATAACGTTTGGAATCCATTAAATATTGAATATTCATAATATTTTGAATTCATTAAATATTGCATATTCGCAAATATGAAAATAAATTTGTCATCACATGATGTTTATGCATTAAGATTTATAGTCTTTTAAATTCATTAAATATTGCATATTCATGTATATGAAAATAAATGTGTAAACATATTATTTGTATTATGATTTATAATTGTAATGTTTTAAATTCATTAAATATTGCATAATCACAAAAATGAAAATAAATATGTCAACATAAAATGTTTATGCCTTAGGATTTATAATCATAATGTTTTGAATTCATTAAATATTGTATAATCACATATATGAAAATAAATGTGCCAGCATATGATGTTTATTTGTTACGATTTATAGTCCTAACATTTTGAATTCATTAAATATTGCATATTCACATTATATATATATATATATATATAATATGTAAGTATACTATACATGTTACAATTTATAGTCATAATATTTTAAATTCATTAAATATTGCATATTCACAAAAATAAAAATAAATATGTCAATATATGATATTTATGTGTTATGATTTACAGTCTTGAACATTTTAAATTTATTAAATATTACATTTTCATAACTATAAAAATAAATGTGTCAGCATATGATGTTTATGCGTTACGATTTATATTTGTAACATTTTGAATTCATTAAATATTACATATTTACATAGAGAAAAATAAATATGTTGCCATATGATGTTTATGCATTATGATTTACAGTCATAAAGTTTTGTATTTATTAAATATCACATATTCACATAAATGAAAATAAATGTTTCGACATATGATATGCGTTACGATTTACAGTTGAAATATTTTAAATTCATTAAATATTGCATATTCACATATGTTATAATATTATTTTTATGCATTACAATTTACAATCATAATATTTTGAATTTAGTAAATATTACATATTTACAGATATGAAAGTAAATATGTCACCATATAATGTTTATGTGTTTCGATTTACAATTGTAATGGTTTGACTTAATTAAATATTACATATTCATACAGGTATGAAAATAAATGAGAAAATCTGAACTATAGATACAGTTTTGTTGTGTATGCTTATAAATTAAGCAGCCCTCTAGTAAAACTTTAAGAGCAAAGTATTGAGTTTCTCTTTGCATAAGAAATTTCTTTTCATCTTATTTGGTGATTTAAGTTAAATACTCTTTTAAGGTAAAATGTTCACTTGCTCATATTTTTCTTGATTCTTAAAGTTAACTTTTTTTCCTTTTTGTGGAATGTTTAAATATATATTTCTTTCAATAAATATATATAACTTAAAAAAAAAAAAAAGCTTTCCTATTGAACTTAGATATTGTTTTCACTCTTTATTTATAGGAAGGTTAATGTCAAGAATTTGAATCTCCTCTCTCTCTCTTGAATTTCAGTATAGGTTTATTTTATTTGTTTAAGTTAATTCAAACAAAAAATTCAAAACTAACAAGAAAACTTGTTAAAAATCAATTAATTAACTTTATTACTAATAATTTTTTTTCCTTTTTCAGGTGAAATTAAATGCTATGAAGATGAACATAGTTTTTCAGCCTCCAAGGAAAAAATTGATTTTTCTTTACACAAATTTTACAAAAAAGAAAAATTTTTCAATCGAATCGGTGATTTACCAGATAAAAAAGATGAGAATTGGTGGGGCTGGAGTAGAAGGCTATCAGCTTGTTACTATAATCAACCATGTTAGGTAGATGAAGGAGATCTCGAAAAATGACAAGAAGTCATGGCTTCACGTCCTACTTGATATTTTGTGATTTTAGTATTCTATTTCTATGTGTGATAGTTGATTTGGCCCTATTCCTTACAATCTGTCGAATCAGTCACTCTTTATTGTCCCATAAAACTATTCCTTTCTCTTTTTCTAGACTCAACCAACCCTAATTTTTGACAATTCGAGAATTCTTGAGAAAAGAGAGATTTGTAGTTTTATTGACAAAGACATGTAAGCGTATATTAATGTTTTATTTGGACCACATGGTCAGTAGTATATATATTAGTGTTTAATTTAGATGGTCGGCGAAAGAAAATTTTACTGTTGTGAAAGAATTTTTACCGTATTATCATGTCTTTTTTAAATGAAGCTTATATTGAATTGTAATCATAGATTTTGAGATAAATGTACTTTTCTTTCACTTGAATTTGAGACTTTTTTTTTCGAAAAAAGATAAATGTGAAGAACTGAAGATAATTAAAGCCAAATGCCCTGTAGATATACCAAATACTAATTTTATCTTTTAGTTTAGGGAAAGGAAAAATGTTGAGTAACATGTAGTCCCTCGTTCTCAAAAGAAATAATTAACTAGCTTACCAAATGAGAGAAATTGTTTTTATATTGTATTAAAAACAAATACATTTTAAAGTATTAACTTTAAAAATGTAAATAGTGAATCAATTATTTGCTTTATAATTGATAATATATTAAATTAATTATTTTTTTTAATTAGTTATTTTTTATTAAATTAAAATATTGATTATATAGAAAGTAAAACAGGTCAGAACATGACTTTAGTTCAAACCCTGTAAGTGAGAATACAAGAAGGAAGTAGAGATTCGAGAAAGGCTAAATAGTAAAACAAGAGCCCCCTTTATGAAAGCCAGATTGGCCTGCCGTCCCAATTATTTTATTTTTTATAAATATAAATTTTCAATGAAGAATAGATTAAAAATAAAATGTTAAATAAAAAATTACGAAAAATTATGAATAGAGTAATAACATGTTTTTATAAATGATAAGAAAATTTTTATTTAATATTTTAAAATGATATGGAAATTTTTATTTAATTTTTTAAATAGATATAATTTTTACTTAATTTTTAGAATGATATCAAATTTTTAAAAGGATTTTGAAATTTTTAACTTAATTGTAATTTTTGAAAATATATTTTTATTAAAAATAAAAAATATTTAACTAATAAATTATATTATAATAAAAATATTATTTTAAATTTGATATTTTATAAAATATATTTGAAACATAACAAATTTGAAATAATAACATCCTTAATTCCTAAACTTCAAGCTAAATTTTATTTTGATTTCTTCATTTGTTACATAAGATGCAAGCTAATGCCACCCACGTAACATCAATTGACATTTATCATCAATTTAGATAATTTCATAAATAGAAAAACTAAAATAGTGTAACTTTGAACAATTAAAAATCCAATGTAAGGACCAAAATAAAATTTAATTCAAAGTTTAAGAACCATGCAAAGTATTAACTCTCTTAATTTATAGTTACAATATTAAAAACTAAGCTTTCAACTTATTATGTTTAAAAATTGTCCTATTCCATTTTAAGTCTTGATCTTACAGATTTATTATCATTTATATTAGTTAATTTGACGATCACCTTGCAAACATCTAACAGTTTATTTCAAAACTTTTAAAAGGAAAAGGAAAATGATATGTTAGATTAAATTTGCAATTATGAAGTACTCAGATTTAACCTTTAAAAGAATAAAATTTTTATTGGATTGATATGAACTAAGGTTTTTACAAATATGTATTTATTAATAAATATGTTTTTTTTTTTAATCACTGCATTCATAAATAAAGAAAAAATAACTTTATCATCGAAGAGCGGACACATTCTAGTATTATATTACAATTACCCTTTACTAAACCTCAACAATCCCTATTCTCCGGGAAGACGCCCAATTTAGTAAAAATAAATTTGTTACTACAATTTTGCTTCGTAGAAAATCTATAACACCATAGAGTAAAAAAATTGTGGAAAAGAAGTTGACATAGTTCAGGGCAGAGCTGGAGAAAGAATATGACAAAAAGTTACCTTAGATTCATGAAAACCAGCTCCTTCGGCCACTAGCAGCTTTAAGCTGCATTACTAGTTGCTCTCGCTGATCTTCTACCTCGGCATATTTGAGGCTCATGTGGAAATACCGTTCACGTAATTCTTTCAATTCTGTCTCCAGCGATGATGCCTTGCACTCACATCTATCTTCACCTGTTGACTTCTCAGGAACATCTGAATGGAAGCTTACTTCTTTCGACAACAAACTGTACACAAGCAAAATATGCAAAGATTGTTAGCATTTGTATACAGAGTAAGAATCTGATTTTTATTTATTCTAAATATTCTGATAAGGTGTCAGCATACACTTTCTGTAAGAATGAGTGAAGGGCAAAATCATGTATAAAACTATTTACTGATTACAATCAAGCCTGCTAGTTCAATACCTTTGACAGTCATATAAATTAGAAGTATAATAGAGTCGAATCAAGTCGACACACTGTCAGGCTCGATCTTGGCTTGACTCCAAAACTAAGGCTCGAAGCTCAACTCGAGTTTCATTTTTCATGTTCAAGCTCGGCTTGTAATTTAATTGAGCCACTCGAGCTCAGCTTGTTAGGTTCTATTGGGATACGTAAAAATATAAATATTAACATTACACACTATATTCTCTCATTTACTTTAATATATATATATATATATATATATAAAAGCTCAATTAAATTCGCAAGCTTCATGAGTAGGATATTAAACTACTCATTCTTGACTCAACTCATTACTTAAGTAGCTCGAGCTCAACTTGACAATGAAAGAGGCGAGCTTGACAAGTTTGCAACCCTAATATTATAAATATGATGATTCTTTGTTTTTAATTCCTTCCACCTTCCCTTTTCTAGCCAAAGAAAGAGCTTAGCAATAGTTTTTGGCTAGCCTAATATTCCATCCACAAGAAGACACTACAGTATAGAATTAGCAAGCACACTACCTTACGCTGCAGTGGTACATAAAGACCTGAGAAATCCAGATCTTGCTATTCAAAAGCAAACTTTCTACGTTTAAGGTTGCAAAAGCACCATTGAGACTCTAGAACAAACACCTGTTCTTTCTTTTGTTTTATCTTGTAAATGGAATAAGAATATCCAGTTATTGTCTTAAACCAACCAGAATATTTGCTTAAAGGGGCCCAACATGAGGCTTTGATCTTTCGTCCAGCGATCTTTATCATATTCATATAATATGGAGCAAAAGCATCCTGAGGTCTGGAAGTAAATGTTCTGATTTTAACTACAACCCGTGTAAGTAACTACTTGTCACCATGCCACTCATCCTTTCATCATGAAACAAATTTATTAGACTGCAACAATAACTTATTGAGAAAGCACATGGTCATCAAGATGCAATTGTCGTAGCACATATATGAATTATGAAATAATAATTAAGACATAGAACATGAAAAATTCATAATTGGTAATTCCTTGTTTACTAAAATATAAAAACTATATATCCTATTTCAGATGTTAGGTTTAAGAACTCAAACAACTCCATATTGTGGATTAGGAAATCTACTTGTACCCACCTCTGAAGCTGGGACTTATACATGTCATTTGCCTCTAAAGCTTCTGCGAGTTCATTTTCAAGATTTTGAATCTTTGACAAAAGATCAACTCCTGTAACTTGGGAAGTCTCATTATTGCAGTTTTGATTGTTATCAACCTGAAACAAGAAAAGAAACACAAGATAAGGTGTTTGAGCAGTTTATTACTTCTCAGTCACAGATAACCTTTAAAAACCACTGATTGCCCAATCTAAAAGATTATGATCACCTAGCATGAATTAAAAAAAAAAAAAACCGTATAAAAATTTACCTGTGTGTGATTTTCATCTAAATGATGTTGTCCTTGGTCCATTTCGGTGAACAGCTTCCCACTTGATAGCAGGTTATTGTTCTCCCCTATGCTCTGCTATTTCAGAAGCAAAAAGTTAAAATCCTCAAATATTTTATAAGCTGATTTTCAATGAAATCAAGTACATGAGAGAAAGGAAAATTCCTTACATGAACTATCTAATCATTATTCATAAAACTACTTTTATACTCGGAATTAGGGTAAAGAAGAGACTCACATTCTTGCACTCGCACTGGTCCTGTTTAATTTGCATCAGTTCCTCTTCAAGACCTTGGGCTTTCTTCAGGCACTCTTCTTTCTCCTCCTCAAGGTACTTTATCTTCCTCTGAAATTGGCTATTTTCTCTTCTAATTTGGGCTAGCTCATTTTTCAGTGCAGCTTCATGAGTTCCCAAGGCTTCTCTTGCAGTTAAATCACCCTGCAGCCTAAGGACCTTTTCTTCAAGGGCAACTTTCCTACGTCTGCAATCATCTAGTTCAGAAACAGCTTGCTGACTATTAGAGATTTTCTGGACAAGTAGGGTTCTTTCAACCTTGAGTTCTTCATGATCTCTGGATAGCATTTGGAAAGAAGCTTCCAGCTTTTCATTTTCAAACTTGGTTTCACTGATTGTTTTTTTAAGAGTTAAAATTTCATCCTGTAGGAGTGCTGTTTTCTGCAATTGGACCTTAAGGCTGGAAATTTCTTCTTCTAACTGTTGATTCTCGTATTCAGAAGCTTTCAGTTTCAGTTCAAGCCCTCTAACAGTGCCTTTCAATTTGTCTTCATTGGATTTGACATCTTCCAATAAATCTAATAGTTTTTCATGGTCAGCCATCAATATTTCCTGCTTTTGCTTTGCAACAGCTAGCTCTTCCTTTAGCCCTTGTATCTCAGTTTCAGATTCCACCTGCAGGGCATTAAGCTTGTTCACAGATAATTTAAGTTTTCCTTGAACATCTTGTAGAGCAGCTTCAAGCATCCTTTTATCTGCACGTAAATGAGAAACTTCAAGCACAGCTTCTGATGCAGTTTTCTCCTTCTGATCCTGGGTTGCAGATATCTGTTCAGTGAGGTGAGCAACATCCTTTTGGAGGTTTTCAACTTCAGCTGTCTTCTCCAAGTACTTCTGATTTAACAGGCTCTCCTCAAGAACAAGTTTTTCTTTCTGTTTCTTGTTCTCCTGAATAAGCACTTCTAGCTCCAAATTAAGGGCTTTCTCTTTCGAGGCTATTTCTTCAAGCATTGTGGAATACTTTTCTTCAAGAGCTTCAACTTCATTAACCATATTAGAAAAAGCTTTTTCAGATTCCTTCAGTTCTGCCTCCAAGACTGTGCAATGCTCATGTAACTCCATCTTTTGCTTTCGTAATTCTCCATTTGCTTTCTGAAGCAAACTACATTCTTCAATGAGACTTTCAGAAGTAGCTTGCAGTTTGGGATTAGCAATTTTCAGATGCTCACACTCTTCTTTAACTTCTAACCACCGCTTTTGCATCTCTTCCATCTTCTGTCTCATATCAACCTTCTGTGCCTCCATTACATTTTCCAATCTTATTATCTCTTCCTTGAAATTCATTGCTTGAGATTCTGAATCTTGTAGTTCCAGACGACGAGACTCTCTCTCATCTGTCAGATACCTTAATTGTGCTTCTAGACCACATATCCGTTCCGATAACTGAACATTTTCTTCCTCTAGTTCAGACAAATGAACTTCCAGTTCCTGCTTACCACTTTCAAGCTCTGAAGATTTCTTTACTAGAATCTTGTTGGCTGAGATCTGGGAATCCATATTGCTGTTAAGTACCATCATTTCACTGCGTAAATCATCCAAGCATTTTGCAGCAACAGCACCTTCTCTGAGCATGATTTCTATATTTTCCTCCAACTGTCTTTTATCCTTCTGAACAGAAGAAACCAGAGCTTCTAACTCTTTTTGCTGATGCCTTAAAGCCTCAAGCTCATCTTCCTTTAGCAAATTGTCGGATTTAAGCTTCTCTATCTCAGAGATCTTTTCTGACAATTCCTGTCCAAGATCACTGTCTTCTTCACAAGGAGATCGTAACTCTTTTAATTTATAATCCTCCAATTTATCCAGGATGTCATCAGCACTCACTGCTGAGCCTTTGGCCTCTTTACTATATTCTTCATCACCGAGAGCACTATTTTCTCCGAAGAATTGTTTTAGCTGGACAAAATTGTTCAAGATAATCTCAACTTGCTGTTTTTGACTTATAAAATCTGTACGTTTCAAAATCTCTGAGTCATTGGAACCACAAGTTCCCTCAGGCTTTGCAAGTGAATTAAGAGCATATTGTAGCTTCAAGTCAGCTAAAGAAAGTCGAATCTGTTCATCTAACTCAGCAAGCAATTTAGAAATTTCAATAGCAGCAGGTGATTCAGAAATCCTGGATTCTGTAACGGCAAGACCAGGTTGGTCCTGACTCTCAATTTCTGTCTGTTGGTAATGCTCAAATTGTCGTTGCAGTGCCACATATTCAACCTCCTTTTCTTCTGCTCTGGCACGACATTTGGAGAGTTCACCATCAAGATAAGAAGTTTTGTCCTTGAAAGCTTCCAACTGTAGCTCAAGGTCAGCACATTTATTTCCAAGAATTACAGGTTGAATCTGTAAGTGATCAGCCGAAGGTACTTCAATAAGATGTTTTTTGTTCAGCTCATCTTCATAGTCACGAGAGGTTACTTCTGGCTCATGTCTTGAAAGAGAGTTCTTTCCTGGATGATCAGGTAAAAGAGAATTAGAGGTGGCACTATGATCCTTTCTTGATTCTTTGAGCTTGAAAAGAAGTTCCAGATTTTCATCAGTAAGCTCATTGCAATCTCTCTCAAGTTCCTGCACCTTCAGTTTCAGAGCTTCAATTTCTTTGATTAGATTAACATTACCTTCTTTTTCAGAACCCATATCCTTTAAACCTTGACCATCAAGAGCTTCAGACAATTTCATTTCCAAATTAATGATTTTTTCATCTTTTTCAGCTAATTTGCCTCTCCATTCAGCCTCACAATCCATAAGAGATTTACTCATTAGACCTTGTTCAATCTCCATTTCATGGTTCTTTTCTTCCAGAGTTTTCTCCAGAAACTGAATAGTGCTTTCCAAGTTCCTATGTGATTCATGCAGCAGCTGAAACTGGAGCTCAAGATTTCCGTTCTCTGCGTGTAACCTTCGTCTTTGGTGTTCAACAATACCAATTTCCCCATCAGAATCAGAAGATTTTATCATCTGCATTTCTGAAACTTGCTTGTCAGCATCAATTTGCTGACTGCCTTCAAATCTGACATCAGCCTTTCCTAATTCTTCAAATTCAGATTTCATACTGGAAAGGTTATCAATTTCTACTTTCTGTTTTTCTATGGTTTCTTCCAGCTCCTGAAGAATGGAAACAAGCTCAATATTTGATTCTTGGGTTTTTTTCAACTGTAAGGCTAAATTAGCATTCTCCTCTCTCTGAAACTTAATCTCATCTTCCAACTCCTTTTGAACATTGTCTGTGTTTTTAGTCTGAAACTTCAAATTCTTGGCAGCAGCCTGTTTCATCTGTGACTCCTCCAACAAGATCTTTACTTGTTTGACCTCCTCTTTCAAGCAATCACATTCTGCCTGTGCTGTTGAAAGTGCCACCTCAAGACTTTTTTGATGTTTTGACTGGTCAAAAGATTCCTTCTGCAAATTTTCCAGATCAATCATCAACTTTCGAGCATTTTGCTCCCACATCCTAGCTTCTGCCCGCAGCTCCCCAATTGTAATTTCTGCAGCTTCCAAGGGATCTTTGGATGAACCAGCATTACGTAGTGGAGAAGAGGGAACAAGACGTGAAACCCGATTCAAGTCTTCTCTATGGTTTTGAGGATGGCTTCCGAAAGTGGAGACCTTTGGAGCAAAGGAGTAGTTTGACCTGGAAGAATCATTAAAAGAATAAGATCCGTGAGGAGAACTAGTTTGAGAACCAGTTGAATCTTGTCTTCCAATTTGATTGCTCATAACCCCATTATAAGGGGAGTAATTTTCCCTGTTAAAGGAACCATCCAAGGAGTCAAAGCTATTACGTGAGTCTGATGCTGAGAAACTTGCTTCCTGCACAGATATGAGAAGGTTTCATCAGCCTCATGAAAGACACTGCACAGGTAATTAATTGAAAATGCTCAAGTTGTCTTCCAGTCTAAAGGAGACAAAGGTCCTTAAACAACTCTTTGCGCACTACAAGCCTACTATTAGTGTTTTTGTAACTCATCTTGTTTTGGGTATAGTAACTTCTATAAGTTTGAGTTGACACCATAGAAGCACTGGATATAGAAATGTTTAGACTAACTTTAACGGTACTATGTTTCACAGCATGTGCTGCAGCCTGCACATTGATAGGCTGGCAAACTTTGTAGTCACCATGAAGCCCCATGTTTGAATGCATGCAATCTAGAAAATTGTGTAAAAAGAAGTCAACTGTTCATAAAGTTCTTAAACAGTGAACAAGCAATCTGTTTGGAAACGTCAACAAGAAAAGAAGCCTGGTACAAACCAAGTGTCATAATATCTATAATTATCTATAAGTAATCAGTACATAATAATCTTGCTACAAATTAACAGTAAAGAATTTTAATTATATTCACATAAAATTACAGAATTAGTTAAAAGAACCACAAATGCAGAAAGAAAGGTTGACCAAAGAAAGTCTTAAGTCTTAACATATCCCCAAAACAACTAGGTAAGAGATCAAGGGACCATACCCTACTAGACAATTCTCCTGGATGAAGGGTACTCTCTAAATGATTACTAGATGAAGATCCAACACTCCTGGTAAAGGTACCATCAGAAACATCTGATTTGTTTTCCAAGTCATCATATTCCAGAGACCCATCCTCCAAATACGAATCTGTATCTTTCCACTGCTCATCCCTGTAAAAGATGAGGCAACTTTTTTTCACAATCATATAAAAACTGAATGTCAACCAGTGTAAGGTTTCACACATAATGGCAAACCTGAGTTTTTCTCTCGGTGTCAAGCACTGAATTTTAACCTGCAGACAATAATGAGGGAACAGATGTTAAACAATTGCATCAAATAAAGATGAATAATTGAGTCTCTGTTCCAAATCGACAACTTGTGATTGAAGAGAGAAAACAAATCAATAAATTGTCTGGCAAAAATGAGTGTATTGACCAGCAACCATGGTTCAGGTATTAAGATTCCAAAATCCGATGGAACATCAACAAAATTATCTGAATAAGCTCAAGGCAACATTGGATCAGTTTCTACATATTAATTCCTCTTCCAAAGTAACTCGACTTTAGGCTATAACTAATTTTATCTCCATAGATAACTTTCACTTTAAGAAGCACTGCTAATTTGTATCATCCACAACTCTTCAATTAGGTGTTAATATGGAATGGTAACATAACTAACCTTTAAGCTATAAAATTACAATTTGACAATGAAAAACAACACGCAATGGCAGCAAGCAATTCAAAACCACAAACTACTTTAACTTGTTCCTTCTATTTAAAAGAAAAATATCTTTCTAAAATTAGGAAAAAGGTGTTTTTAAAACTTTTATGCATCAGCAAAACAGTACAACTATTAGTTAGGCACTTAAAACGGGAATCAACTTTAGATCTCACCTGTAACACTGTCCCGTGGTTACATTTCTTTAATGGTAATGTAAGAGGAATAGAACTTTTTGAACTTATGTAGCTTGCAAGGTTAATTGTTGTCTCTCCAAGGAAGCCAGATCTAGACGATCCCTGCAATAATATCAGTTTAAGTTGATTATTTATAACCCTGAGATAAATCAAGTCCACAACAATAGATAAAGCTTCACAAAAGATCAAGTCAAAGCACCATACCATGGCAACAACAAGCTTAAATAAGCATTCATCAACCACTTTTGAAGTATCACCTTGGGCAATCCAAATAGACTCTGAAAATGTCTCTGTCCATCGACAATTTCCATTTCGAACTGATGCTTTGCTTGACTTGGTTATGGTTTTGCCAGTATCCACAGAAATAATTGACACAAAAAGCTTGTCCCATCCTTTTGGAACCTTCAAATTTTCAATTATACAAAACTGTATCAGGAAACACCTATGCACAACCAGCAACTTAACTAAACATTGACAAGCCTAAGATAAGAACAATTATAAAAAGATATACACAACATAAAATTAAATCAAACATCTAAAACTTTGGCCTGAAAACAAAATGAACATGTTAAAAAGAAAAAACTAAACCTCAATTAAATTGTTAGTTTTGCTACTTGCTTTTATACCCTTTGCTTATTGGTCCCTTGAAATTTGTTAAAGACTTGAAAAGCAAATAGAAAAATATATAAAATATTATTTTTATTAAAAATAAGCATGTAGCTAAAATCTAAAACACATTCAAACAAAAATACTTCATTTAAAATTAAAATGGCATATTTTGTTAGGATAAGCCTATTTTCACGCACATTTTTCTTCTCACATGAATATGAATCACATTTACGGACATGTGAATCCCGCTAACCCACTTATTTGATAACTGACATTTGTGTGAACAAAATCAAGCCATACATGGAAATAGACCCACCAGTTTGTAATTAAAATTTTTCAAATTTTTATTTTTTTAATTTTTTAAAACAACTAGTTATTTTTTGTATCAAAAGGCATTATTTACTCTTTTTTTTGTACTAATGAGCGTTCGCCTGCTTTGCACTACACAGGTGCTTAGTCAAGTAAATCACAAATTGCAAAACTAACGACCAAAGAGAGCCTAACAAATTAAAAACTATTTCTCGCATTTTATCTTTTTATAGGAATCATCCTCAAAATCACCATTTCTTTTGAATAAAATTTTAGAAAAATCCTCAAATTATTTCCAAAAATTCCACAAGAATTTGAATAATTATTTCAGGTCAATAATTTCTGGTTCACAATTAGGTAATATTTGACTAGCCTAATTTTGCAGTCCAACCAGAAAAAAAGTTAGTGCAAAAATGAAAAATTAGAAGTCAAAACGGAAACGTCAACTGATCTGACTAGAAAGAAATCTAAGCTAAAAATTTAGCCGTTCGTAGCATAATGCCAATAAAAGATCTTCATAAATAGAAATTAAAATTAAATGAAAAACCAAAAATCATTAATAAATTAGAAAAAAAAAAGATTACAATAAATAATTCTAATAAACAACCACCGCACAACGTCGTCTTTCAGCCATGATAGAAAAAATTATATAAAAAAAATAAATCTGCATCGAATTAGCAGTGAAAACATAAATTTTTTAAAAAGAAGGGAAACTAAAGAAGAAATCAACGGAAAATGAAAGAGGTTGAAATTTGGCAATGTAACAGCGGATTCAATTTTAACATCACATGAAGAAATAACTCAGAACCTGAAATTTTCAAAAAAAAAAAAAGAACAGACCTGAAGAGCTTGGAAGCTGGAGAACTTGAAATCGAATCTCTCACCAGACTTATCAGACTTTTGCTTATGTAATCTGAACATTTTTCTTTCCTTTTCTTTGCTCAGATTTTATTTTCTGTTCCAGATTCCGTTTATTTATGGAATTTTTTTCACAGCGCTAAAGAAAATTTAGCCAAAAAAATATATTTTTATCAGTTTTTCACACGGTCTCTACTCTTTGAAAGAAGAAAGAGTGTGTATTATTAAATAGAAAATAATAAGAGAGAGAAGAGGGACAAGGCGTTAGCTGTTGTTGTTTTGAAGTTTGATAGATGTTTCTCTTGGAGCTTTATTATTCAATTTATTCGTTTAAATTTTTTTCCTTTTGTTTCTTCTGTGATAACCTTTTTCTATGCTTTATTTATGAATTCATCACTCTAACTTTTACAATGGCTTTTAATACCCCTTCCTCTCTTAAATTCCATTTTTACTTTCATTTAAAAAATAAAAATTCATAAAAAAAGTAAATAATATTTTTAAATAATTAAAATTTTCAATAAACGTCAATTATAACATCCTTTACACTCCATATACATATGAATAATGAATGTAAAAATTTTTATTTGTTTGTTAATTTAAATTGATCATCCATATTATTATTATGACAAATAAATTTATTTATAATATATTTAACATTATTTACATAGTTGTATGTTGTCTATAGTCTTGCAATGAAACGAGGGATCAAAAACATTTTGTATTTTACTTTTTCATTCAATAATATGGAGTACGGTCAAATTTGGTTTCTTTTTTTTCAATTAATGTACTAAAAAGCCCTTGTCTTTTTTATTCCTTTTGCATTAAATTGAACTCTTTAGTAACTTAAAGAAGAGTTAAGCCTAATATGTAAGAATTCATGATTATGTTAAGAAGTTTTTTTTTTTTTTTTTCTTTTACATACACCTATCAATTAATTTGACATTTCTACATAAATTATTATATACTCCTTCTATCTCATTTTCCTTGGTTTTTTTTTTAAATGTCCTAAAGTTATGTCTTATTTTTTTAATATCTAAAACTTTTACTCTTTTATTTTTTAAAATTATATTTTATGATTTTTTTATTTTTTAATATTAAAAATCATAAAACTTTAATTTTATAAAAAAATTTAAAATTTAATATTAAATACATTAAAATCAAAACTTTCTTTTTAAATTTCGCAAAAGTTAATATATAACAAATATTTTAAAACGGAGAAGGTATCTATTTTTTAATATATTTTTCACAATATTTAATTAAAGCATTGTTTGATAAACTCAAAAACCTCATCAAGGAAAGTTTTCATTTAAAACAAATTAAAGTATTAAATTATAATATAAAAATTATTTAGAATGCTACTAAAAATTAAATGTTATTTTTTAAAGAATGATATAATTTTATAGAAACTCATAAACAATTTTTTATTAAATGCTTATAAAAGAGAGATACAATTTTATAGAATTTTATATTTAAATTTTTATTGAAATTTTTAAAAATTAGAGATAAAATTTTATAAAAATTCATATACAATATTTTATTGAACTTTTTAGGAAAGAGAGAAATAATTTTATAAAAAAGTTATATATAATTTTTTATTGACTGAGAGATATAATTTTTATATAAAACTATTTTTAGAATTAAAAAAAGTAAAAGTTTTCAAAAAAAAAAAATACATCGTTTAATTTTGAGACATCTATAAAAGAAATGAACAAATTAAGAAACTAGGTTGAGAAAGTATAATTGCATTTACATTTTTTTATTTGTGGTGTAAGAAATTGAAGCTTAAAACTAAAAGTTCAGCCCTAATAATTTGTTCAAAGCTTTTGGGTAAAATTTTTTACACTAGTTTTAATTAGCCCATTCCTCATGTAATTAATAATTTATATTCAAATTAAGCTTGGAAAAAAAATTAGTGATGACAAAACAGAAGATTTACTAGAAAGTTATGGTGGGCTTAACCTAATAAACCAATACCCCACATAGGGGATACTCGCTTCATTATTAAGAATGAAGAAGGAACATCTTTAAAAAAAAAAAAGAATGAAGAAAGAACAAAAAAACTTGTTTTTAGGAGAATGAGTAAATGAAATTTTGTGAGAATAGTATTATTGACAATGACATGAGTATCATAAAAAAGTAGTAGTAGTTTTATTTATTTTCAAATTCTAAAAATATTTTATTAGATAATTAAAAAGTATAAAATTGATAAACTCGATATTTAACTTAATTGATTTATATAAATATTTTTTTAAATATAATTTTTTCTTCTTATTTTTTTCTTTTTTAAATTTCTCAAAATTATGTTTTTTTTATACATCTAAAACTCTTATTTTTATATATTTTTTTTACTTTTTAACATTAAAAATAAAATAATTTTAATTTTATAAAAAAATAAATTTTAATATTAAATATATTAAAATTAATTTTTTTTAAATTCCATAAAAATCAAATAATCCCAAATAATTTAAAATAAAAAATAATATTTAATATGTCTAAAATTAAGCTCTTAATATTTATAATTATTTTTTTATTTTTTAGTTGCTTTTTTTAAAAAAACAAGTAAAGACCCACCTCGCCCTCTTGATTTTACTGACAACTTCAAGCCAACAACCCCATGTGGAGGGGTCACCAACCTGCTAAAGTAAGGTGGCCTTTTGTTATTTACTTCCTTTAGTATGGTTTATTGGCATTGTCATCGGTTTACAAAAAAATGAAAATAGAATTTTAACTTCAACAATATGATCAATTTTTTTTTATATATTTGAATTCAATTTTTCAAGCTTTATAACTTTTTTGGTTTCTAAGCATTTTACAGCTATTGATGGACTTGCTTTGGCCACACTGTAAATTGACATTTTCTTACGTTCCAAGCAACCTTTTTTTTAGTTTACCATATTTCTCTTAATTATTTGTTTGTTAAATTGAATTTGCACATTTCATTCTAATAAATTCTAGTTAAGGTTCCAAAGTAATGCAATGACTTATTACTACTATTAATTGATGATCATCAAGTGATACTCCGAAATTTTTTTGTACAATTCTTGCATAATAAATTTCTTATAAATAATAAATGCCATGTATGTGTCAAAGATTCACGAATCTAATTTAAAAAAAAAAACATATTTATTAAATTAAAAAAATCTTTGATTTATAAATCCAAAATTATTTTTTCAAAATGAGATTCCTGACATATGCATTTGGTTAAAAAATTAGTTATGATTTTTTACTCAAAAAATTAGGTTCTAAATTTCTAATCCTCAACGAGAAGTTGTAAGATTAAGCAAAAAGAAAAAAAAAAAATCAAATTTTCTATATGGGATAAGAATTAATATTGTAGACGTCAGCCCTAAATGTGATCCAGGCCTTTCAAGTCTTAAGTGCTAGTGGTATAGCTTAGGACCACGATGGTGAATAGGTTTCGTTTTAGATTTCTGGAAGCAATTTTTTAGTGTTTTTCTTGGCAGAACTTTGGGCATCCATTACGGACATTTCGCTTAACTCAGAATTCTTTAGGATTGTGTCAAAATATTTCTAAAATAGTGAAAGATTATTGGTTAATATTATATTTAATCAAAGATTTGAGAAATTAATTAAACAAAGTTGGAATTAAGCTTTGAAAAGATTACATAATTAAGGAAATCAATATAAGATACAAAAGAATCAAGAGGTGAAGACATTTTATTGGAGTAGTCGACTGCCCAGCAAAGGCATTTGACTGTCATGGTCTTCAGGAAAAAAGAAAAAGTTAAGAAAATGAACTTGGAAAGTCGGATGCCCAACTAAGGGCACTGCCTGCTTGGAAAAAATTTTTATTCGAAATTATAACTAAGGCGGTCGATGCTCTTTATTGAGAAGTCGACTGCCTTAGGAAAAAGGTTCATGAACAAAAATGCACTAAGGTAGTCGATTGCCCTAGTGCAAAAGTTGTGATTTTGAAAAGTGAAAAATGATTTCTTTTGCAATGAATTACAATCATTCATAAAGTAATTTTTAACTTATAAAAGATGAATAATTACATTTGTAATTATTCAAAAAAATGTACTCTTAATGAAAGAATAAGTTTATTAATTGAATCAACACAATTAAAAGATCACAACCTTTAAATCAAATCTCTATAAACAGATATGAAAGCACACATTCGAAGGATGATGAAAAATAGTCTGCAATGTTCTCCCTTTCACTCTCAAAATAGAAACAAGTCTTTTCAACTTTGTTTGTTATGGAATATTGAGCTTAAGACTAGATATTTATGTTCCTCTTCGAGGGATCGAGTTCAATGGTTTGAATTTCATTAGTGCAAGATGAATTCAAGAAAAATTTCATTGTATTTCTTAGATTATTCGATTAACCCTTATTTCGTCTCAAGAATTTTTGAAACGAAATAAATCTTAAGAAAAATATTCTTTGCAGCACGTTTCAAAACTATTTCTTTTTCAGCATTTGGGGTCTTTATTTGGAACGATGCAAGTCTTGAAAACCAGTCAACCACTGATGTAATAGCAAGAGTTCTTCATCAATTATTCAAGCCAACAAGATTGATTATATTCTCTCAAGTTATGACCTTCCAATCACCCCCGTTGAATCATCACCAAGTTAAACAACACAGGCTATTCGTCGAGGACCACTGTGTTATTGGATGTGCTTTCATCTTATTTATTTTGAAGGTAATCGATAGCTTAGGTGGATGGTAATTCATTTTAAGCATGATTTTGGGATTCCATTAGATTTATTCAAAATTCAGGAATTTAAATAGCTGTCGAAATTAAATTTAGATGCTACGTACGTAATAGCGTTGCTTACGGTTATAGCAATCATGAAAATTTTTTTTATCTTGCAGAACTTTCTCTAAAATACTATAATTATAGCCCAACAATTTTTTTTATAGTATTTGAGTTAATATTACTTTTTAACTCTTTAAAAAATCATAATAACATTAAAAGGCTAAATATATAGTAATCTTTCGATTATAAAATAAAGTATAAAAATTATTAAATAAAAAAAAAAAAACAATACTTAAATGTTTTTATTCTTCTTCCAAACCAATGTTAAAAAAATACTTTCAAAATATGAAAATAATTTGATTAAGTAAAGACTTATTCCTAAGAAAAATCATATTAAATTATTTAATAATTTAAGGGAACGATTATGGTTAATAGGATTGATTATAAACTTAAGAATCAATGCTAGAAGGCTTAACATAAGAACAATCGATTGCTTTAGCAAGAGCAATCAACTGCCATGTACATGCCTTGAGAACAATTGGCTGCCCAT